GGGGGAATCCCCCTAACACGGCTCAGACAGCCCATGCTGGCTATCTGAAAGGTCCTTGCAGCAATGTAGCGCAGACCCCCTCACCAAAATCAAGGCAGGCAGTGAATATGAAGAAGAGCACGAGCTGGCCGAATATATGCTCAAGATTCGAGTTCAGGTCTGTGTTTCAGCAGTTATGGGTTGCTCACGTAGCTAGGCCATGTTGGTCTCTGCACGTGATTCTCAGGGCTTGGCTGCACTACTCACCAAATGTGCAAACCTAGAATGAATCTTCTTCAGAACATGGAATAATACGCCGCCATATGTTTTGTCTTTTGTGCATGTGGTGAGTAGAGGCCCTTAGGGGCACTGCACGTATTCCTAAGAAAAGAAAAACGAGCACCCATTTCCATTGATCGGCAACCCCAATGGTTCTTCATTTTCTTTGATCAATCGAGACAACTGATCATCCCTACTGCTACGATCCCCGTCACCCGGCTTAGAACCCTTAATCGGCAACCCCAATGCTTCCAGTCTTTTATCCAAGCGAGCACCCATTTCCAACTCAACCAGCTCACATTCACACTTTCATTACAACTTCCATTTGTCCTCTTCCTTTAGCTTTTGAGCAGCCGCCTCCTCCTCTTTACGCTTAGCCTCCTTTCTCCGATCCTCCAAGTAATGATTGTAACATGCATCCAACCGCTCTTGGTTGACCTTCCACCAGCCCACGCGGTCGTTAGATAGATAGCCCTGACCAGGGGAACCGCCAGACTGATTAGTATATGGCTGAGTAGGGACAGGATCAGAGGAAGAGACATTAGGAGCCGGAAGAGCAAGAAGCGACACTGCTGTAGGGACCGCGTTGGCGCCCGTGGCAAGAGGATGGGGACCACCAACCCATGTTGGGCAGTCACGAACCCAGTGGTTCATGGACCCACAGTTAAAACAATCGGAGGTGGGGCGCACACCAGCCATCGCTCAAGACAAAAAGACACAACAAATGAAACAAATAATCGTACGTGAAGAAACTCCGCACATGAAAGACAACACACACAACGTGTCACTCACACGTAGTCCAATTGCTACGTTGGTTCTAACGTCGAAGAGATGGCAGTGTGTAAACACAACACATCCAACGTGAAGTCAAACAAAGCAAAGAAACCACAACGACGGTCCACAGGGACCTACCACTCATCAATAGCCAACACACAACATGCAAAAGGCCCAAGAAGAAAAAAAAGAAGAAAAGCACACTGCGACATGTCGAAAACTCCCGAACGTGACTTGGCACAAGATAACAACGTCAAAGCACATCCATAGGAACCTGAACGCAAATGAGCAATAACTCCAATTGTCAAACCGAGACCCAGGTTCACCAGCGGGTGACCCGACATGTTTCATCCGGTCGCCGGAACCGGACTCTTCAAGGGTCTACGTCACGATGAGTGATATCAACCGGAAGCAGGTGCTACTTATACGGACGCAAACCAAGAGGGACCAATAACAGAAGGGTCGCCCCCCAAAAAACAAAGTCCCAACAACAGGCCCTACGAAATCAGCTCAAGTCAACACCTCTCAGAAAAGTTACACCCCGTGGGCCGGAACGCTGAGTCCCTGAGTCCCTGAGTCCCTGAGGCTAGGGGCCTAGGGGTCCTTGTAGTGAAACTTGGCAAAACGCGGTATTTTTGCTGGCAAACTACGGGAACCCGATAAAGCTGCAATGAAACCTCTATTTTTGCAAAGGAAACTTCGAACGGACGACATTTTTGCTGCCAAACTTCGAAACAACAATATTTTTGAAAATAACCCTTGGCAATAACAGTGTTGTGGTGGTGTGATTGTGTGATGGTGTGTTGGTGTGGCTGTGTTTGTCTTTCAGGTGGTCATATCTGCCCCTTCGGGAAACGCCCCGATGTTTGTGATGGGTATGGACGAGACGTCTTACACGCGCGAGCTCGACGTGATCTCGAAGACCAGCTGCACGACCAACTACCCCCCCCCGCTTGCCAAGGTCATCAACTACAACTTCGGCATCGTCGAGGGTCTGATGACCACCGTGCACGCGGTTACCCCCACCCAGAAGACCGTCGACGGTCCGTCCGGGAAGGACTGGAGGGGAGGACGCGACGCCGGGTTCAACATCATCCCCAGCGGCACTAGCGCTGCCAAGGCCATCGGGAAAGTCTTGCCTGTGCTTAACGGAAAGTTGACGGGCATGGCATTCCGCAATCTGACCAATGACTCAACAACCTCCTTTGGCTTAACATGGATACGGAAAGGTGTGGTTACAGTGGGTGACCTATGAGATACGATGCTGGGAACATGGAGGCTTTGAACAGAACAAGTGGAGAGGCTCACTCCTCTGAGAAACGTGGAGCTTCACTGGGTACAACTGTTGAAGGCCATTCCGGAGAAATGGTGCAAAATACTGGGTCCGGAAGGAATTGACCCCGAAGGGACCTGGTACTGTCCAGAAAGTGAAGATTCGAAAGAGGTGTGGAAGATGGTAGAAATCCTTCCTAGCGGCTTCACGAAAGTCCAGAAATGGCAGTGCCAGAGGCACTCCAACGAACTGTCCTACATCTGTGAAACAGTCATCCAAGCGTGGGACAACCCCCCACAAGCGAGGGTGGTAGACCGCAGAAGTACACCGAGAGCAAGGGCGAAGTGGGTGTGGGTGGGTCACGTCCCTCTTAAAGAATTACGAATTGATCCGGCAGCCTGGAGCTAAAAGACGAGTGAAGCAAGGAGTCCTCAACTACGACTGGTGGAGTACTCGGTGGTAAAAAGCTATAGCTTGAGATGGAAGAAGAACAACACAAGGTTCGTCGCAGAAGTGGCCATCTGCAGATGGCAGGCTGTCTTCTCTAAAGACTTATCGGAAGAGAAGTCCTCCTTTCATGATCTGTGGAAATTGCTCTCCTCTCTCCCAAATGGCAAATTAGTCTCGATTCTATGGTAGATATCCATGATGGGGACGCCTTCAGCAATTTGGCTTACAAGCAGAGGGTTGCATGTTGAACTCGAATGCTCCCGCTGCAGCTGGCCTTTTGAATCTACGAGGCACCTTTGGTGGGAATGTCCGACCTCACGGAGAATTTGGAAATGGTGGAAGCACCACTGGCAACACTTCGACAACTCAACGGTAGACTGGGAGGAGAAGTGGGTGTCTTTAGGCTTCCTCCCAGAAGGTACTCGCAAGAATCGTGGTTGGGCCTATATTGCCCACGTGGTGAGAGGATTGTTGTGTGAAATCATATGGAAAGACAGAAACAGGGCAAGATTCGAGAAAAGGCCGTTCTCTGATCTCGAGGTCAAGAGGGAGATGAGACAAGGCTTGAGAGAAGCAATCAACGTTGATTGGAGGAAGAGGGCAAAAGCAGGGAAAGGCAGTAGAAAACAACTGCAATGGTTTTTTGACACATGGGCGAACGGACATTAGTTAACAGGGGTTCACAAGACAACAAGGAACGGGAGTTCCACCCCACCGATGATAGGTCGGTGGGAACCGTGAGTAGGCTCTGCAAGATAGAACTAGCAAGAAATAGTAAATAAGTAATCAAATAATTATAGTAAGAAGTAGACTCGGTAGGCACAGTTGCAGATATCAAGGCCTAGCTGGTTAAATAGGACAGGTGAGTTGGGTTCAGTCTTGCTTAGGTAAGGAAGGTAGTAGATCTAACGGTAACTCGAGTGAAACAAGGAACTATGTTGAATATAGCCAGGAGGCAGGGTCGAGAATATACAGAAATAGCGGCTACATTTGAGTGTTCATCGTTACGTAGAGGTGTGGGCAGTAGTGTGCCCTCCAACACTCAAAATTAAAAAAATGACTCAACAAGAAATTCGGTGGCATGTCACATTTAGAAGGTTCAGAGTACAGTAGCTTCTGGGCAGTGGAAAATGTTGTTGTTTTCTCAGTTTGTTGACTGTAAGCTAAATTGGCTGAGGCTACGAGGATAACTTCTGAGTTGAATTGTGAGGTCCCCGTCCTCGGTGATCATTTTGGAATAATATGAAACGATTTATCCTAAAAAAAAAAAAAAAAAAAAAAAAGTTCCAATATGAGGTTAATGCTACTGGCAGATTGGAAAAGATGTCGTCTTAGACAGAGACCAGGTCGCTTTTGGTTTCATAAAACTTGGGTTGAGAACAGCAGACTAGCTTACTTCTCTGCAGATGACAAAATGTCAGTGGCTAACTGGCTCTGAGAGTAAAACTTAAAAAAAAGGACAATGCAGGCCCTGGCTGGCACTGTTTGACATTAGGGATCAGGGACTAGCTAGCAATGTGCTTTTGTAGGCTGGTTACTCTTGAGGTAAACCTTCCTAACAATTTCTTGCTGTTCATTACAATGTTCTTGGAACCTTGGCTCTAGGAAATCTTTTTACTGTGCTTCAAAGTTTAGTTTTTGGAAACTAGTTGTTGAGTATGGGACGCCGGACCCGGTTTCCAGCTTGCTCATGGTAAAGTAGAAACAGTCGGTTAGACGTCGAGCTCGACTCGTAAGCTAAACTGGTTGAGGCTGCCAGGATAACTCCGGGTCGAATTGTGAGGTCCCCGGCCTCGTCCCATTGTTTTTGGTAATAAACAGATAAAAGCGTTCCAAAAAAAAGAAAGAAAAAAAGATGATGAAAG